TTCCCCTGCATTAGTGGACCTGGAAGAGGTCGACCTGGACGACCTGGGCGAACCGCCCAGGGAGTATGTCTCGGACGATGACTTCGAGAGTCACGTTGAGGACGATGGGATAGGGCCATTTATTGCCAAATTCTCATCAATGGAGGTTAGAGATTTGATTCCCTCAAAGCAGGAGCCGCCGTACTACGAGGCTAAGGCCTGGCATGCGACGGAGGAGGAAATGGAGAGGATGAAGTCCCTGTTTCCTTACTTTCGTGCCGAGAACTATCGGCGCATGTCTGAGGGAAATGCCCCGAATGATGCCAAAGCGCATGAATCTGGTGTTCTCCCGGTCGGTGCTTCGCTTGAGGATGCGGCGATGGTGAAACCCGCCATCTGCCCGATTGCGAGTACCTATAACCTCAATTTTGAGGGTGAGGAGGTTTTGTTAGATGCCTCGAGCAGGACGTTTGGCAGCGTCGCCTGTCCTGCTGGGGATGGTATTTTCGGATACTTCCCCGAGATCACTGACCCCGCTGCAACTGGACGAAGCTCCAGAGAGGCGCATATGCTTCTGGAAGTTTTGTCAGGCTCCACAGACCCAAAGCTGGTAAATGTTAAGCCTGGTGAGCCGTCCTATCGTTTGTGTGGAACGGTTCCTGATGTTCTTGGAGGTTGGATGTCAATGACTCTGATCTCTATGCTTGCGAGGCCCTAGACGGGATCGTCAAGTGTACAGGCCAGATGATCCAACTGAGGTCACAAGCGAGGTGATCTTTGCGCGTTCCACCCTAATCGGGAGGGACGTGCCATACAAGGTTGTCAAGCGTTGGGCTTTGCGCGATCGGACACCGATCGGGCCTTTGTTGAGGCAATGGATGCGGCAGAGGTCCCTTATACGGGATATGTGCTGCTTTCCATGCCTGAGTATCGGTCCGCCCTCAAGACGAGGTGCATCCGACGTCCCGGCAAATTCACCATCAAAGTCTTCACCATCTTGAAGCTGCCGAGCCCTAACAATGAGGGCGAGTTTTACGTCGACGAACGCGTCGCGTACATGGACAAGCGTCATGTTATCGTGGCGATCAACCTGAAATGGTTGGCAATTGAGGGTGCCGCAAGCATATACAAAACCCGCCGCGGTTTCATTGCTGCGCGTGAGGAAATTCATGCACCTTTCTGGCGTGCATGTTACTTGCACCAGGAAGGGGATGTAATATACATCCGACCCTTCACCGATCCGGGCCTTGATTGCCCCGGGTCCGCTAAAAGGGGAGTCATTCGCGTGGGACAAAGCTCCCATGCATGACTATTGGTGCCCTCGATGTGCACATTTGAACATGCATGGCACCATTCTATGCAATGGTTGCCATTTGCCCATATTCTATCGGGAATGGGTGCCTGGTACCTCTCGCTCCAAGATTAGGCGTGGGCAGCCGACGTGGTTGGACGGACTCAAAGCAGTCATGCCCAACAGCTGGTACTATGGGGAGACAAGTGTCTGGGCTTCCCTAATGGCATCGGTGAACCCGATCCGCAAGGTGGTCAGTTGTATGATCTCCGGGCTGCGATGCGCGCCATACCCCGTACACAATCCCAATGCGGATACTGTACAGACTGCATTTCGGGAGGTTGAGAGCGTCACCTCAATGGACACTCACTCGTGTGTGAGAGCGACTGATGAGGCACTTGAGCGATGGCAAAGCAACTGCTCATCGAGGAAAGTGAGACTGGAAACCCAGTTCCTGAGGGCTTGACTGTGATCGCATATTTGATCAACAACCCGCAACACGCGGCGCAGTGGGGCCGCCACATGACGAGGAAGGGCAGTCTAAATTCAGCATTTGCCTTTTACCTTTCTGTATATATGTACGATGCATACCGCATCGCTGTCGAGGATGGGTATCTCGTTCCACTCTATGGTCTAAGCGCCTCGCGTGAGGACGTGGTCATGTCAGTGGTCCAAGCCGAGCGACGCCTCTTGGATTTCACTGACGAAGATCCTGGTTTTGACATCACCAAGACTCTCAGGCTGAGCATAGAGTCCCTGAGAACCGGTGGTGGGTCGATCACGGCCCCAATCGAGTATGCTGAGGCATACATTTATACCGATCAAAACAAGGTCGACATGGTTCCCGCTGTACAGCGCGACGGCCAAAGCACCATAAGTTTTTGCAGATCCGCCATCTGGTAAGCACCACAAGCGGGCGGCGACACCTCGGGGTGATCATCGCTCGGCTTCAATGCGACCGGATCAGAAGGGCAAGGGGGACCCTCGGAAGGGCAATGCCCCTACGAGCCCCTGGCCCAAAGGCGAGGGGACCCGTGTGCAAGTAAGGGTCACAAGGGTGACCAATTCAAGGGTCACAAGGGCGACCAACACAAAGGTAAGGGCGGCCTATACGGCCATCAGTACGGGCAATATGGCCGTGGCGGATCCGCCCGATCAAGGACGCCGACCAGCGGGTATCAACCTGACGCACGTGGCTCGGGATACAAGGGCGCACAAGCCGCTCCTTTTCCGTATCCGAGTCCGATGTATCCCGCATTCCCGATGGGAGGCTTCATGCAACAGCCCATGGCTGGCATGATGCCGCAAATGTGGCCTGGCGCAATGCTGCAGGGGTGGCCACAGTATCCGCAGGAGAATCCCGGCGGATACATGAATCCAAATTCGCCTCACACCCCGACTTGGGGTGATGATGACGAGTTGGCTGAAACCGAGCCGTCTCCTCTTCTTCCCGGGGACTGGAATGTTGAGAAGGGAAAGGGACGGCGCGGCGGTGGACGGGGTAAGTGATGCCCGATCGTGTTCCACAAGTGCTGTGTCGCGCCCGATTGTGCCAATGCGCACTTGCAATTTTATGTGGTTTTAGCTTAAATTGAATGAATGCACGATGACACATACAGAACAACGCTCCTGGTGTCAATCCACCATATAGGTTAATCACCGACTTATAATTCATTTGCACGTATGACTGTGCGCTAATCGCGCCGGTCACATTGTCCTGCCAGGTACGTTTTGTCACTGCAAGGCAGTCACCCTCGCCGGCGTCTATGGTCGCTGGCGATCAACATCCTTCCGCACCGCTGATGCAGCTTCACATCGAGGTGCAGGGGTGAGGGTCACGATCGTGCCGCACCGCTGCCGGCGGGGTCCTACTTGGACCTGAACCGCTGAATGCTGCTGGCGGTGCTCCTGTCGGTTATCTTCGAGTGACCGCGCGCCTAGACGGTGCTTTTTAAGGCCAGTGTTTTCTGGTCAACGCACCATGTTTCAACCAGCTGGCCAAAGCGCCCAATCAAGTAATTCAAAATTAAATCCACGTGGATCTCACGATTCCGTGTGATTGCAATGTAAATGCCAATTTATTTCATGCCTGCCATATTGGAGTTGAATCCTTGTTTTTCGTTCTTCCTTTGCTCTTTTCTGTTTGATTTGGCTACCGGCGAGAATCCGCCCCATACCTGTAATTCGGGGTGGTGGCGGGATCCGGGCTCCAATGTGAGCCCGGGTATGGGGTCGCGAACCCTGGTAGCCTAATCTCCTGTTTTTCTTGTTTGTTGCTACTCAACTTCAACATGGCCAATGCGCCTTTCCAAATTCACTCCTTCTCTTTGTACAGTCGAGGGGGGTGTTTTTGGGGGCATGTACTTTTATCGCAACATGTGCATATACTGCCACGGCCAATGCGCCGTTTGGCTCAAGCTTTTCACTCGGCAACCTCGCTCGCCATCTCGTCGGAAAGAGCCCGCGGCACCCCTCACGCCGGCCGCACAACGTCGCGGCCGTCGTTGTTGGGGTGGTGGACTTGGTCCCGGAGGTGGGTCGGGTTTTGGTTGGAGTGCGCTGCTATTGCTCGCTTTGCTCGCTTGGTGCTGCTTGCTGCTGGTTTGCTTGCCTGCTTTGCGCTGTGCTGCGCTTCTGCTTGGTTTCTTCTTGTTACAACGAGGCACCCCTTTTGGTTCGTGTTTGTGCCGGCCGAGGGCAACCGCTTTGCCCTTGGGACCGGGGGAATAAGGTGGTCTCTTCTTGTTGGTGGGTTAGGGCCTGTTTTATCCATCCCGGAAACTCTGTTTCAAACCCTTTCGCAGCAATCAATGTTTTGCTCCGAACTGCGCCTGGCGACATAGAACGAACGGTTTCTGCCAAAACTTCCATTGGTCCACCGTGGCCTGAGTCTGGGCATGTTTCAGCGGGTTGTCAAAGTTTGATCAGTTCCAATTCCTATCCCTTACCTCTTAAAAACACTACTTTTCAACTTGTTGGGTAACATGGGCTATATGTATGTAAAAGATTAACTTCCCCAGGGCTTGGAGTTTTAAGGGGTAAGATCCACACCAGAGTTGTTCATAGCAAGATTCCCCTAGAAGAAAGGCTTCGCTACTAAGCTTCACTCAACAAAGCACACCTGGGTGTTCGGTTGCTGCTTCTGTGTTTCCTTGTCAGCACTTGGCTTGCTTGTTTAATCAGCAGGAGCTTAGAGACGCAGATTTCATGTAAAACCTGGAGCCGCCATTCTCGCTCTTAGCTGCTTGAAGGAGCGAAAGGCGTTGAACGGCTGCTTGCGCCCCATTAATTAGCATGCCACCATACAATGGCGATATCCGTCTGCTGTGGAAGGGCCAAACCTTCCACTTTCCACCAATACTGTGGATGGACGAAATCCGTTTCGCACCACTTTAAAACCATGGGAAACCACAGTTTGTTGGTATTTACAGGGGAATCATCGTTCTGTGGTTTGTCAAGGGATGCAGGATTTCGTCCATCCACACTATGTTGCATGATTTGGTTTTCCAGACCCACTACCGATTGCCAAAAGGGGCCCTGCCCCATGTCATTTTTGCCTGCAGGCTAGTGCGTGACGCTAAATTTGAGCATCGCATAGCCCGGCCAACCTGGCTTCAGCTGGCTGCTGGTTTGGCAATGCTTAAGGGTAAACATGGGGTCCAGATTTTGTTGTGAGCCACGTCAGCACACGCGACCGGCACAGTCCAATGTTCTCTTCTCACAACCCTAGGACCAAGAACCTGAGGAAGATTAGCGAGGTTGTTGAGACCTTTGAAGTGGACAAGGACGGACTTCCAGTCGAGTGGTGTTTCACGCCGCGCCGATCGACGTGTACTCGTCTCATTTGCGACATTGGGTTTTCGAATCTGTGTGGCATGATGCGCTTCACAAGTTCATCAGTCAGATACCGGATCACGGGGAAGTCCCTTGAGTCAGGAGAGTGAATCCGCAGGCAGTCACGCACCCACGCACTGGCACCCAGGCACGCACACCCAAACCCAGTTTCTTCACCACCGGGAATTCCTTGTGCGTGATGCTTACTGCATGGACACCTTGCAGGCTATGCAGGAGAAGTGCACTGCGTACGTTCGGTACGCGGATTACTTCTTGCCCTTTGAAAACAACAGGCGCGAAGAGACACAAGTCACTGTTCCAGAGCTCTCTCATTCAAAAAGTTAAGATTGAGATCGAAGTGGAACAGGAAAGACAAGCTGAAGCGTATGGCCAAGCTCTGAATACTCCAAAGCAAATGCGTACAATTGACGAGAGGAAGAACTGCCCCATGTCGGAGTTGAACAACAATTCGTGTGGTCCGCCCTGCAGGTCCAACATCAGTGTGCTGTGCCACCTGGAGCGCAGAGGCCGGGTTTGTAGCCGCAGCAGTGCTGCAGGCATACGGGCCATGTCAAATGCGCACCAAGAATGTTCTCAAGTGTTAGGCAGTGGCTCACAATTTAAGAGCTAGGGTTACGCAGGTTTTGGTCCATGTTTCCACTTACCAGGGTTCCGTTTTGGTACCGGTTTTTTGAGCCATACCCACCGCCTCCTTCCGACTGAAACACACCGCCATTCAATGATTGATTCCTCCGTGTTCTTGTGGCTGTGCTTGTGGTTGGCCGTTGCAAGCGTCACTTGTTGATCACAGGTTTGGAAACACGTTTGAGCCACGCCATGGCTACCAATGTTGGAAGTGTTGGTTGGCATCACGTGAAGTGAAGCGCCCAAGCTCAAAGTAACAACCGAGTCATGACAGCCCAGATGCCATGCTGAATCTGGGCCGGGGGGTTCTTTGATTATGAATGATCTTTTCTGCAAGCGGGATCTTCCGGCCGGCAAAACGTGGGTTGTAGGAGACACAGACCCTCACGCACTGCGTGGCACCCCGGCGCACATGCCCAATGGTAAGAACACGCGCCCACGATCTCTGTCGCACTCCTGCGCACATGCCTGCGCCTGGTCAGCACACCCGCCTACCCGCGCCTGCTGCACACATGCCTGGCACACCCGCCCACGGACTCCGTCGCACAGGCGGCTACTTCTTTAACAACATCCTGCTCATGGTGTTCCTTGCGCCGTGGCTGATAATATGTTTGTCTCAGATGGATTGGGATAGTGCTGGAAGCAAATGCAAGTTGCAGCATGAAATGGTTGCCCCAGATCAGTTGCGCGGACCATTGCCCGCAGGCGTCATGCGCATAGCACAGGCCCATGCTAACACCATCACAAGCGTTAACTGTGAAAGGATGCAAAGAGGATATGGCACTCTCGCTGAATGCTCATTGAAAGGCTACTGATGTCCGGCTTTGCACCTATCAATGAAGCCTGTCTGGTCTGTTCTTGGCTTTGTTCGTTTGCACCTGCCGGCCAGTAGGTACCCACTGGGAATACACTCTGTCTCCGGCTTAAGGGACGTTGCGACGAGGTAATAATTTTGGCTATTCCAGATACTTGAGTTGCAAGCAGCATCCCGAGACACAGTTCCAAAACACGCGGTGGTTTCGCGGAAGGGGCAATAACATCGAGCAGGAGTGCATAGGTTGAACATAGTGAGTCAGAAACAATCACATGCCTCAAGCTAAACCACAACAAAATGGATACGTTGTTTCCAGACCCCCCAACCGGTCTACCACACACAGGTGTTTAACAGTAGCATGATTTCAGACAAGATCAGATCCCTACTGAAAGTATCATGACAGTAATCTGGCCACACTTCAAGGAATGTAGGCTGATTACGCATGGTCTTTTGTCAGAAGCTAGTGCATGTGTCAAAACGAGCGACCCCTCCCAAATGATGCTTTCATGTTGGACTGGGGCAAGGCTTCATGACCTGGCAAGCTGCCTACCAGTTGGGTAAATGGGAAACCAACCACCAATTCAAACCACCAGTTAGGGGGAAGCTGAGAAGTTCGCTTAGAATTCGAGGTGAACGTGATGGCCCTTTGCACCTTCGCGATCCCCGTGAAGGACGTGTCTGGACGCCTGGGGTTGCTGAGTGGCTGCTTCCTGGCAGTGCTGGCCTATCGCTACATCGTCAACGAGATCCTGCCCAGGTGACCGGAGTGGAAGTGGTTCAACTGGGAAGTTGTTTCAAGGTGAAAAAAATCCGTTGCACAAGGGGTTTAGGTTACTGTACATGAGTTGGCCTGGCAGTGCGCCCAATGACGGGCATTGTACTGGGTTCTTGTTGAGTTGGTGTATGTTCATCTCAGTCCGTACTGCCATGTTCACAGAATTGCCATTCAATCGGCTTGCAACGAGAGGGATTAATATGCGAAAAAATCATGCTTTGAATTCCGAGCAAAAATCAGGAAGTCCTACCTGACGGCTGCCGACATGTACATCAGCTTCGCATGCCTCTTTCAAATCGGGATCTGCGCTCAGACGGTGGTCTTCGGCATTCTAAGGCCAGGAGCCTGATGCAGCGGTGTGGAACCAAACTAGAGGCCTGTGCCAAATCGTTCACGACCCTTGTTTTTGCAGCCGTTGTGCAAACATGATTTTCCTCCCCCAAACCTTTCTAAACCTTTCCGCGACTTTCCGTATCTTTCGGCCTTTGCGACCTGTTGCCTTTGAGCATTTGGATTGGCCACACCTGGATGCTTTGGCTGCAACAGACATTGGCCATGTCATGCTTTCGTCCTCTTCCGCTTTGCAGCGTAACATCGGGCCAGTGCTGGATTGGTGGCTGACCAATTTACCTTGATGGCGTTTGACGCACGGGTGTGGGTCAAAAATAGGTACCCGGAAGGGAACCCTGGTATATGAAAACGAAGACTAAAACCTGCGGTCCCCTGAAGGTTCAATTTTGACCCATACCCATGTGTGCAGGTGCATGGGCGACCGTTTTTGCCGGGTGGGCGGGAAGACACCCCCCGGCCTTGCCAGGAACCGTGAGGACGGGCACAAAAATGCGGACGAGCTGAACAAGAGGGATAACATCCTGGGACGCTTGGCAGCCATGGACGGGGTGACTGTACTGCTATTGGGTTGGATCTTTAGACTTCAACTTTTTGGATTCCCTTCATATTCCTTTTAACCAGCACCCAAGGTGATTGCTCACCTGGTCCCGCTTTAGACTGGCAAAAGAGGCGCGTATTCAGCACATTGCAGTTTTGCCACGCACATCAGCGCCCACACACTCACAGACACATGGAGGTTGATCAAAAGGCCCTTTACATGGGATGGTCATTGGGGGAAACCACTTAAAGGATTTGATATGTCATTTGGGGGCCGAAAGGAATATTGATCAACTCCCACATGAGTTACCAGATGTTTCACGTAGCCTTGCAAAACCTTTCACAATGGATCCCCTCAAACACTCCAGCGTGCCACGTCATCCCGTGGAATATATTGTCTGGGATTGGCTTTCTGAAATAACATTAGAGGCCTGATTGTTTTGTTGTTATTGAAATCATGTCCTCTCGTTGACCCAGGAAAAAAGTTTGACATGTTTGGAAATTGAGGGTGTTTGAGGGGTGGTTGTACCCTGGAATAACTTTGAGGGTGTTTGCTAAATACCTGATTCGGTATTTTCACATACGGCCTGCATAGCGCGGAAAAGGTGTGGAGCCCAACCACAGTAACGTATGTTGTGCCCAGTGTGAGAAGGCACTTGCCAGTCTTAGCAGTTGCGCTTGGAGGAAAGGACCCGCCACCGAAGTGGCAACATAGAAACAGCATGAGAACGCAGCATGGGAGCGCAGAGCTCAATCTTTAAGAAGACATAGTCGACATAGTCAAGGGCTCTTTCGACTTCGAGAGAGTATCCTTGAAGGATGCACGACCATCCTTGTCATGCGGAAGGTACTACGCGACGCGTGAGAGATGTGTCAATCTACTCGGAAGACACCTTGCAAGGAAGGCGCCATGAGGGATCGTTTGCCAGGCGCCCCAATTTTTTTCATTTCGCGCAGCGGTGTTTGCAGCAACTCATGGAAGCAACCTCGTCCTTATGTCCCAACATGGTCCAAAATCTGCTGCATGCGGTGCTTTGCAAATTGCGCATCTCCGCTTGAGTTTCAACAACCCCCATCCGCGTGGAAGGGGAAAGAGAAAAGCAATCAAAACTAGCAAAGGACGGATTGAAAACCCTGAAGTCTCCGATTTGGAGGGCGTCGAATTTGAGTGTTCAGACCCATCATGACCCCTTTTTCCCGGATTGAACCATCCTTCATGCCCAGTTGTGCCTACCCGGGAGTTCGAGGCGGTTATTTCTCAGCATAAACAGTGTTTGGGGCATGTTTCTTTGTTATGAGCTTGGACTTAGACTTCGAATGTATTGCGTCCTGAGCCTCTAGCAACGCAGGCCCTCGAGCACTTTCTCGAAAATATATATTTGGACCCAACACAAGCATTAGGACGTGCGTCAGGCTCTTTAATGGTGAGCCGCAGGAGCTATTTATAAAATCGCAGGAGCTACATATAAAATGCCAGGAGCTATTCATAAAACCCCAGAAATTTACATGGAGCTACTTATAAAACTTCAGGAAAACTCATGGAGCTATTTATAAAATTTCAGGAAATCTCATGGAGCTGTTTTTTTTTAAAAAAAATTTCAGGAAATCTCATGGAGCTATTTATAAAATCCCAGGAGCTATTTATAAAATCCCAGGAGCTATTCATAAAATTCCAGGAGCTATTTATAAAATCCAAGGAGCTATTTATAGAATCCCAGGAGCTATTTATAAATTCCCAGGAGCTATTTATAAAATATTCATAGAAATTTGATCAAACACAAAGTTCCAATGAAGTTTCATAACTGGCCGAAAATGTTCATAAATTTTGGGTGAAAGAGCCGAAGGTGTTCCCAAATCCCAGCAGGAGAGCTGAAGACAACAGGACCAGAGCTGAGCCTGATTTGCTTCTCAAGACTCTGTCTCGCGCTCTCTTTCCCTCTCTTTCCTCTCCCTCTCTCTCTCTCTCTCTCTCTCTCTCTCTCTCTCTCTCTCTCTCGCTCTCTTCTTTGAGTTCTCAGAAAATGTGTCTCTTGGCAAGTGTCGTTACAGAAATAATGTTTCCAATGGTGCAGAACCGAAATGGACAACAAACCAAACATGAACTTGCAGCCTGCAGCTAGATGCCCTTCCCAATCCGTGATCCAATAATTAGCTCATGTCAGGCTGTCAGGTCAGTAAAACTGAGCAGACAGAGCAGGGCCACTAACCGACACACCGCTTTTCCATCGCTCACACCAACCTTTTCCAGGGATAGGTCCAATTTGAAACCGCCTAGCATAGTGCGCCGCTTGCAAACTTACAAATGGCAAAGCTTGGGAAGGGGGCCTTCTTAGAACTTACTAATACTGTTACTGTTACTTGCATACTGAATACTAAAGACTAAAGCCAAGCCAAGCCCCAAAAAATGGATTTTGTGGCCGCAAACATCTTTCAAACCCTGGGCTGCCGCAAACACTGGTTTGTCACGCGCTTCACTGACGGCTTCCGACATTGATGGCCAACCCAGGCCTTTGCCACGGAAAGGCACCCCAGGCCAGGCAAAGGGAGGCACGCCAGAACGGAACTGATATTGACATTGGGTCAGAGTCAGAGGCAGTCGGGAGTAGCCATGGGGCCGTGAAATCAAAAGTGCTCACTCCTTTCGATGGCTCTATTTAGCAGTAGCCATCTAAAACTAAGCTAGGCTGGTGGCTTCCTGGCTGCCCCTTCAAACCACCTACCTGCCCTACCCTACTTGACCGGCTAAACAAAAACCGCCAGCGGCCTGCCACCTATTTGGCAGACCGCTTTCTGCCACGCGCAGCTGCAGCCTTGCCTTTTTTGGCAGTTGGCTCTGCAGATTCCTCATCCGCCAAGGCCGCCGTGGCCTCTTTGGCCTTCTTGCGCTTCGCGCCAGCCTTCGCATTTGGCTGCTTCGCAGCAACCTCCTCTGGCCCAACGTCCAGCTTAGAACGAAGCTTGTCAGGCAAGTCCTGCTTGCTCAGACCCAGCGAGTTAGCGAGATACTGGATGCCCTTCACTTGGGCGGCTTTGCGGTCCGGGCAGGAACTGGGGTTGATGATCACGTCAGCAACCACCAAGGTGCCTAGCAGCAAGGACGCAGTTGCCCTGAAGTCCTGTGAGGGGGAAACTAGGAAACAAAAACGCGCAAAGGACGGGATAGCGATTGGATTGGCGATCGGATACCGGCAATTGGGTAATCATAGAAATGAAAGACAAGAACAGTCACATGTAATAACATGTTTGTTTGACCAAGATCCACATCGCTATGTATTTTGATTCATGCATTCATGCATGTGACATGTGTCCCAAAAACACCGTGTGGATGTTTCATGAACCGAGTCCAAGGAGCTAGCACCCATCCAAATCCCATCTTTTACAGAACGTACAGGGTGGGAATGGGATAGCGCAGTACACACAAAACGGATGTGATGCGCGCTCTTGTCTACCAGCGCAAAAGAAAAGGGACTTCAGGATCCCAATATGATATGAAGAGCCTGCTGAGCAGCATTTGTTTTCGGAGCACTGGAAATCCAAATTGTTGGAGGCTGAGGACTTGACAAACTTCAGAAAACTGTATACACCGCTTGAGATTCAGACTTTTGCGAAATATTGAGGGCCAACCCTGTCCTCCACTGACTTCATGATCTCAGGAAGCTTCTCGCCCCCCCAAGTCGACAAATCGGCCATGGAGCCCTTGGAGGCAAGTAGAGCCCTCATCAATGGCAGCCGTGCCCCGAACACATCACGGCACTCTACCAGAAGTTGGGTGTCCTCCTCGTTCTTCTTTGCCTGCTTGGGGTCGGTGGCAAACATCCAAGACACTGACTCGATGTCCCACATCTCAATGGCATGGTTCAGGCACCTGCAAGGACAAAGGGTCCCTCAAAGAGTTGGCTAACTTGTAACTTGCCTATGAAAAAGAAGAAAGGGTAGGGGCCCGGTAGGGGATAGACTAGATGTTACATGTTTGAAGATGGCATTTGAAGTGGCGTGCTCCTCACCTTAACACTTCTGTTTTCTGTTACTGTTCTGAACAACAACAGTGCTAGGCAGAGTCCATTCAGGGCAGGAGTTGCCGCTGTTTGAAGCTTCTTTTGATTCTCAGACTGACTCAGGCTCCCTGACTCAAACAAAAACACAGGTCGTCTGGTCTTGTTTGTTTGGCTTAGAACACATACGCATTGCCGTTGCATTGCTTGAAGGCTTGCAACGGCCCGCCGGAGTTTGGAAGCAATGACTTCCGAATGACACGCGATAGCAATAAACAACAAATTGTTCCCCACTTGGTTTGGGCGCTGGGTCAGGGTCCAGGGGCATTTCTTCGGGGAAGGAAGGGGTAATTTAATGTGACTGTGACTGTGGGTTGCCTTCAGCACATCAACACGCGGCAACAGATAAGGGTTGCGAATCAAACTGCAGGAGGGGAGTTCGTATGCAACATGGCAAGGCCACATTGTCATGAAAGGGGCCCTTGTTTGTTCATAGCTTTGGATTTATTGCTGAAATCACTGAAATCATTGAAACATTGCTTCAATTGCTGGGTTATTGGGCTACTGGGATATTGTTTGCGTTTCAGGCTGCAACTCCACGTGGTTCATAGAGGTTTGTGAGAGCTCGTTTGTATGAGTGATGTGTGTGTGTGTGTATGTATGATCAATGATGATGTGTATAGTTGTAAGTTCAGTGATGTGTGTGTGTGTATGAGACGTGTGTATGAGACTGTATGAGCAAAGGTAACTAAGTCGGTGAGTAGTAAGTCGGCTTTGGCCAGGCCAGCCTAAATGGCTCAATTGTAGAGAAGCCAGTGGCGAGGTCATCTGTCACCTTCTCCATCCAATTCTTCAAAGCCGCCTGGTAGCTGGAGACAAACTCGAGAATGCGGTTCGTCATGTCTGGCAGGGCGTCGGCCACAAAGTTCATGTCCAGCGAGACCGCCCTGGTGTAGCTGGCAAGGCGCTGCATTGTACTTGGGAGGCGGCCACTGA